AAACAGAAGGAATAGTTCGCGTATATAGAGATGAACATGGCTAAATCAAGTCAGGCCGTCACGCTGATCATTTAAATATATATTTAATAGGGTCTCCGTCCTTCAGAGCTTCGCGGCAACCTTAAAATAACCTGCTTAAGATATAAAAAGTTGTCATTATGTTGCAATTGTCTGTGCATCAATTAAGTTTACATATATCTATAATCTATAATAAAAAACTATAATCTAAAATTTATAATCTACAATCTACAATCTATAATCTATAATTTATAATCTATAATCTATAATCTATGATCTATAATCTATAATCTATAATCTATAATCTATAATCTATAATCTATAATCTATAATCTATAATCTATAATCTATAATCTATAATCTATAATCTATAATCTATAAATTTATAATCTATACTCTATATTCTATAATCTATAATCTATAAAATCTATAATCTATAATCTATAATCCTATAATCTATAATCTATAATCTATAATCTATAATCTATAATCTAATAAATCTATAATCTATAATCTATAATCTATAATCTATAATCTATAATCTATAATCTATAATCTATAATCTATAATCTATAATCTATAATCTAAATCTTATAATCTATAATTAATCTATAATCTCTATAATAGTAAATCTATAATTTAATCTATAATATAATATCTAATATCTATAATAATAATTTATTTAATTATAATATTATAATATATATATAATCTAATAATTCTATTTTTTTTTATATTATCTATTAGCTATATTTGTTAGTGAATCATTTGCCTTCTTTTGTCTATGAAATCAAAATTCACGTGTACAAATTTGATAGTGCCTTGTCCCAACACCTTTTGAAGCACCCTATATAAGCGAGTACACCTATTTGTGCAAATAAACATTTACAGCTATGCTTTATTGAAAAATTTTACGACAAACAACGAGCAAACCCTACACTTTAATACAAACTCGTACCCATATCCATACTCTTACACACACACACATTCACAGTGCGAGAGCGAAAACCATAGCACGCGCAGCACTACTAAATAGAAAATTTCTCTTTTCGAACATAAAATTGTTTTATGGCTATGAAGAATTTTTATTACGCTTTGCATTCGTTAAGAACTCCATCTCTGTCAGGAAGGAGTTCCAGTAACGGAAAGGCTTATTGCTTGCAGCGTCGGCACTGATACCACAGCCACTGTTGCGTCTGTAAGTCGGAAAATGGAAAAGAAAGAAAAGGCAAGGCAGTGAAATCTTCTTGTAGTTGGAGGCTGCACGCCACAGGTGCAACGACTAATAAACCGGACCATAAAGGATACTTGATCGAATTGAGCTTACAACGGAGTCAAGCACCTGCACATAAATATTTATAGCCTAGAGCATGAGAGCTCAGCTCATTAATATATGTGTGTGTGTCAGAGCGTTGCAGCAATTTAAAGAAAACAATATTCATGTTTGTTTGTGCGCGTGTGCGTGCGAAAGGGTGTCAGTGCGTGCATGCTGATGAATTTTATGTTGATCTTAAGGATAAGAGTATTATGTGTGAGTGTGCTCACATGCTCGCATATGTACTTGTATATGCTTGTATATGTGCTTGTAAGACGCAATAATAAATTTTACAAGCTATTATTCGGGTCAAGTAAAGTGCAGCAGACTTAATGGTAGCTTTATTTTTAGCAAAATATTCCTTGTGTGATTGATTTCTATCAATTCTTAATGATCATTTCGTTTGAACACGGTTAAATGGTTAAATGCTCGCAATTTCAACGCTCACTTGCAGTAAAGTAAATTTAGCGTAAACGTAATTTTATGCAAAGTGGAAATAAATGGGTTTAGTACAACTCTGCTCCTTTTCAACAGTTTTTTTTTATTGTGTAGCAAGTTAATGGAGGAAAAAGTGGTTATAAAACAGTTTGAGATTTGTTTTGTATGAATTTCTAATATTATGTGATTCAAAATTTATTTTAATATTTTTTAATAACCTAATTATCTTCACCTATTCAATGTTTTTTTTTTTGGAAAATATTTCGTAATTAACGAAGGTTAGTATGGTAAAGTGAAGTAAAATAAAGTTCTGTAAAATTTTCTTCGGAGCTGTAAAAATGAGTTCAATTCACAAAATTAAGGCATAAAATATGGGATGACCAGACTAAACCACCATTCATTTTCAAAATTTGTCGGCTTTAATGCTCTCTCGGCGCGTTCACTGAAGCGGTTTTTTCGAAAACAGAAAAAAGTCATTGGAAACAAATACGGTGGCTGAGCGATGAGTCTCGTTTCGTATTTGGCTGAAAAGTCATCATGCCTGCTTGTGACAGCGCATATATGGGCTTTAAAATGAGTCTAGCAGTCACACCTTTCATACCCAAAACTTTAATCAAAATGATTGAGTTGAACCATAAGTTATATTGAGATCCTCTGCATTGTTCTAAGACAAGAGGACGCTTTTCAAGTACGGTTCCTTTAACTTTTTGGATGTTGTCGTCCTTAAGAGAGGTGAATAGACGATTCGCATGAGACAAGTTTTCGATGACTTCACGATCTTCAATTCCCAAAAGCACTTCGGCAACATTTCCAGCGATTCCATAGCCGTGATTCCATTGGATTAGGCTAGGTTACGTCGTAGGGTGGGTCTAAAATCTATGGGTCTCACTTTAACAGCTATTCGTCCTATGTTTTACCTATAAACTCCTTAAAGTGGCTCATCATATTCTCATAGTTCAACGAAGCGTTTTGAGCTTACCACAAATTTATTGAGGCTGTAAATATCAATTCCAACTACTTCGCGAGGCTCGCAGAAGGTGTGTCTTCCGAGTTACTTCAATTTCAGCCTCACAAAAGCCATACAATAGAGGACAAAGTGACTAAATGATTCTACCTCGCTTTCTGTTGACCAGCCCTTGCCGTGCTCACTGGAGGTCCATCGTTCCAGCGCTAGAACGCAAGAGAACCGACTCGATTCCGTTGGAAACAAAAAGTTGAAAGCAAACTCGTGGATATACACCTGTACCAGTTCGATTCAAATTTGATCAGATAGTACTGATTGATCTAACATGCAACACTTGCTTTAAGTACTGTTTGGATTGATTGCAACCCTAAAAATTTTGCTTGCCCAGAAATTGACATACATTTGAACTCTAATTGAGGAATTAGATTGTTTATTGTTTATGAGGTTTTTCGTAGTTTATAATCTTCATTTATATGAGGATTTCAACCACAATGAAGTAATTTCTTAAATTTTAAATTTTCAGTTTAACTAATTTTAAGATCGAAAGCGATACATCACATTAGATAATTAACTAAATAATATGATAACAACATTTATGCATCCTTTGAGGTCATCCAACTGCTACTAAAATTAAGTGCACAATCATAAATACATACGCATATACAAGTATGCAAATTCATTTTTGCCACACGGCTGTGCATTAAAACCAACAAATTTCATGCTTTTATTATTACTCACGGTGAGTTGAATGGCAAAAATATCAAAAATTTTCGACACGTTTCCAATTTGTCGAGACATTAGCATTGAGCGGCTAAAGCGCCCGAAAGCATGCTTCAGGCTACCTTAATAAAACTAATAACTAGATATTCATAAGTCAACAGCAGAAGTTATATGCTTTTCAGTTATGACAGACGCTTTGGAAGACTTTTGGCGAATACTGGTAAAAAAAACACAAGCAAAATAATAAAATTAAAACCACACAAAAGTCAACCGAAAAACAAAAGCAACAACTAAGCAATATTTGAAATGTTTTGTCATTTAATCTTGCTCTTGTTGCCAAGCTGAGATTACACGCTAAGGGGGAAATGCGGTAAATCGCCGAAAAAGCATATCAAAATGTTAGTGGGTACAGTTATAGTAAAAGGGCGCAAGCTGGGTTGGGGGCTAACTTGCAAAAATGAAATGATAACGGTTGAAAATTTGCGCTACCACATATTTACCGCCATCTCATTCGCTTGTGAGTCACGTTGCAGGTTACGCCAGCGTGTCGCATGCCAACAACTATTTTTTCTCTGCTTTTTGTCTGCCTCTACTTTATTAGAGAAAAAGTTTTCCAACTGGAGTGTTGCTATGTAAAACGTGTACTTTGTTGGTTGAGAAAAATATATAAGTTCGAAGACAAGCCTTTGTTCCAACTGAAAAATACCTGAGGGACTAGTTGGGCAAATTAGTATCGATAATAACTATAAAAATACTTATATTTAGTTATTCCGCAATTATATTTATGATATATAAAAATTGTTTCAATAGAGTTCTGACTATTCGCTATAAAAATTTTAATATGAGCTAGTTACATACTAGTTACTTTCGGACCACACGTTGGTTTATTCATTTTGAACTAGTTGCACTCTCTTTTAACTACATCGCTATACTTGCATGCTGATAACAAACCATCGAAGCGCACTTTATTCACTCACCAGCGGCAGATTCAAGCAGACATAAATATTATCAGCACAATATGTGAATGATGAATGTGTTTATATACGTATGTATGCGTATATCACATATATGTATTCTTATGTTGTTGCATGGGTATGCATGCAGGATTCTGCTTGTTTATTTATTATACTTTATGTATATCCATCTGTGGTTTATGACATTTCATGTTGTTATCCTTTAATGTGCACAGACAGCCACACACGTGTTTCCTCTTATGTGTGGGTGCGTGTGTGGGTTCGTGTTTGTTTCAGCACATTTCGTCGCTTTCGTGTAAAAAGTTGACAAATGAGCTTCCTATGATAAGTAAGCTTACTCACTTGCCACTTCCGAAAGTATGAGCGAGTACATGTGTGAGCGTGTGAGTGTACGAATGTGTGGGTGTGGTTGGGAATTTAAACTTTTTTTTGGAGATATAGAGAAAAATTGCTACAAATTTGCCACTTACTGATATTATTTATTTATCTATGAAAAATAATTATTTCTTATAAAATAAAACAAAATAATAATTTATTGAACAAAATATAATAATATCTTTTCTTCTTTCAGCTGTGGCATTTTTAAAGTGAGTGAAAGTTTGAAATTTAGACTAAAAAGTGCTTGCAAGTCCGAATTGTGAAACTCTTTAAATATTCGGTCAGTTGTCATATAAAGAAACGGTAAGTGTGTATATTTTATTGGAAATAATTTATTATATAAACAAATAGTTATTCACCTCGTAAACAGTTAATGGTAAAGGGGAGAGATTGGGGGCGATTCCTCCCGGGAATCAATAAGCTGCTAGTCTTAGTGTGTATTTTTTTCATAATTGTTCGATATATCCTGTTTAATGGACGATATTTTATAATATGACACGTATATAGAATTCCGTCTCTCTAGATCGTCACTTATGTTTTGAAATGAAGTACATTAAGTCTACTTATACGAGCATATAGTATGTATCGACCGATATATATATACATATGTATATGAGATTAATGGAAATCATCGTTTTTTGGTCGATGAGGTATAGAATGAATTGTTCCCAGTTCAACTTCTCTTTTACCAGGTAAAATTTTGTTAAAGGAGCGTCTTCCGCTATACTGGTGACTCAGTTAACTGTAGGGTCGAAAATAATTAAATTCAGATTTTGGGTTACATCTTTGGAAGAGTTGTTACAGATCAATGGTGCAATATGATCTGAGTTTTGTTTCGATATCGTTGTGACTTATTAGCTCAAAGCTATCTTACAAATTAAAAAAGTGTCACTACAACTAAATTTGTTTCAGCACTGTCGCTAACCACGTGACAATTTCAGTGCAAACTATGCAACTGAGTTCACAAAAAAGTAACCAACTTAACTATATTGTCAACACTATGAAAATTAACCACCCATAGCGTTAATAGTGTTACCACATGGCACCAAGCAACTGCACAGCTTTAACTTGCCAAAAACATGCATACGCACGCATACATACATATATGCCAGCGCAGTCCAACTCGAGTTGTCAATGTTGCTGATGATGTGGAGATAGTTTTTGTGTGTGTATGTAGATTGACTTGAAATTAAAGTGTCTGCTGTTGTCAATTCTGTTGGACAACGCTGCATTTTGTTAACACTTATTCAGGCTCATACATATGTACATTCGTAAGTGTGTGTGTGCGTTGTTTATACTCACTTTTCTAGGAATTCTTTGGTTGTTGTTTGTAAGTTTTGTAACCAAACTGTGTGTTTACAAGTATGTGCATTTCTTATGTGTCTTCGTTGCAATTTCGATTTAGCAAGTAACTGTTAAATTGTAATATTTGTTGCATTTGTCATTTGTTGGACATGTGGCTGTCAGTATGACAAGATATTTTTGTTTCATTACAGGAAATTGCAAAAAAGTGAGTTTGTTGTATTTGTTATCTCTCGTGTTGCATTTAGATTAAGCTGTCATCGAAATGTCATAAAAGCAAAATTTTGACGAAAGACCAGAAAAGATTTTATCTTCGGCTACACTGAAGCGCTATAATACCTTTCACAGGTGCATTTATTATAATCTTATATCATATTTGGGTATAAAAAGATCTTTATCATGATTTTGATCGATCAGTCTGTAAGGCAGCTTTATGCTATAGTTCTCCGAACTTAATAATATATTCCTAGATTGTAGCGTTATCCTTGAGAATAGTCTATATCAAATTTCGTGAAGATATCTTATTATATAAAAAAGTTTTCCATACAAGCACTTCATTTTGACCGAATAGTTTGTGCGGCAGCTATATGCTATAGTGGTCCGATATAGGTGCTTCCGACGAATGAGTAGCGTCTTGGCGAGAAAAAAATTTTTAAACAAGTAAGGAAGGGATGTAACCGAACATTTTATACTCTGGCAAAGTCAAATGGTATACTCGTTTTAGATATCTTTGTGGATCTTGCCGCCTTGTTCTATGTTGACCGATATTTTCGGTAAAAAGTCAACCACAGGCACTGAGGTCCACATATTTAGTACCTAGGGCCTTGAACAGTTTTTGAATATTATGTACCGAAATCGGTTAAGCAGATCCCAAGATATGGGGTTTACCTAAAAGTGCCACGATCACTATCTAATTTTGAACGTGGTTCCTATAAAATCATCTTATGCAATCCCAAAGATAAAATTTATTGTCTCTGGCTTGTTTAGTGCTTGATTTATCGCGCTTTTAACAGTACCGTTATATGGGGAGTGGGCGGGGTTGTCAGCAGATTTCACCATTTTCACACTGTAGGTAGAGCTGCTAAAAACATTTGCTCCCAGTAAGTTATATCTTTAGTAGTTTAGGAGATATGCACATTAAACTTATTAGGGGCGGAACCACGCCCATTTAAAAAAAAAATTTAACTGCAGATGCCCCTCCCTAATTTGATCCTGTGTACCAAATAACAGTCTTGTATCTTATTGCGGAGCTTAGTTATGGCAAGTTATTTGTTTTTGATTAATGGCGTTTTGTGGGCGTGGCAGTTGTCCGATTACGCCCATCTGCAATACCAACCGTCTCACGGTACCAAGAAACATGTCTACCAAGTTTCATAAAGATATCTAAATTTTTACTCAAGTTAGAGTTTGCACGGACGGACAGACAGTCACCCGGATTTCAACTCGTCTCTTCATCCTGATCATTTATATATATATATATAACCCTATATCTAACTCGATTAGTTATAGGTGATACAAACAACCGTTAGGTGAACAAAACTATTATACTCTGTAGCAGCAAGTTGCTAGATTATAAAAAAACTGAGGGACTAATTGATGTATATACAGACAGATGGACAGACAGACGGATATGACCAAATAAACTTGTCCGCTATTCTTGTATATACATATATATTATATGGTCTCCTTTATAAACCTACTTTAACAGAAAGTTTAGCCGAGTTGGTGTTTTTTTCCAACTCGCTTATGAATAACACACCTTATGTAGTAGTAGTATGTACTTCATTAAAAATCCTTTAAAGTTTCAACCATTTTAAGGTAATTGCTGGATATTTTATTCAAGTTGAGCGTTCTTTTGCGACTCGCTTATAAAAGCAGAACCCTACGTTGCAATATACCGTGCTTCATTAAATTAAATTCATACACAAACATTAAAAACCATTACGCAAGCAATGTTAGAACTTCACGTTTTAAAGCCAATACCTTTACTATAGCTCTGAAGGGGACTAAAAATTGAGACATTACATAATCACTAGTGAAAACGCTGCAACCGCAAATTGCGTACCGGAATTATCACCCACATATTTCTTCTGCGCTGATATCACTTGACATATCTATTTTTTCTCTCGTGAGTTTTACGAAATAAGTTACAAAACCGTTACGCGCTTTTCTTTAGTCTGGTACTTGCTATGGTTGCGACGATGGCTATCGGTTTTTGGGGTTAACAACATTTTCTGCTTTTCTCTTTTGCTTTGCCACGCCACAGTCTATGGTATGTCATTGATCTATGCCGTGGGAAAAGCATGTTGTTGTGTAGTTTGTTAGTGTTATTGTTGTTGTGGCAAGTTGCCGTTACTTCAGTGCCAAATCGGTGCTATAAATAACTGCTAATGTTGTGCCGAGAACATACGCACCCGCAGTGTTCGAAAAGGGTAAGTCAAGGTTGGCCAATAGGAAATTATATTGCTTTGAAATTTTTTGATCTTGAAGACATTTTTTGAATTTATCTTCCGGGGCTTTGTGAGTTATAGTTTCAATATTGGCTTCAGTCAATCTAAATACCACAGAGCCAATGCGTTAAGCTTGGGACATTTGGATAACGAAGTCAAAAAACGCTGACATATGTATTCTAAAAATATTTCTGATTTTTAATCAGAGAAGTGTCTGTATAGACTGTTTTTAGAGATTTGAAACCACTTCGCTCAGAATTGTTAGGCGAACTCGACAGATTTTCTTACAGGGACTCACTCTAGACACACACAAAGTCACAAGCTTGTCTAAATGTATTGGCAGTGTCTGCATTTTGGCTGAGTGTCAAACGTAAACTGTGTTGCATACATTTTTGCTGTTATGCCCGCTTTTTTCTGCCATTTCAACAGCGGCTGCCATTGCATTGTCGTTGTTTTTGCGCCGGTTTTTCTACACTTCGCCGTGTGTGTGACTGCAACTTGTGTTGTGCACTTCGTCGACAAGTCGTTGGTGGTTTGCGCAAAGTTACAAAAAGAAAAACACAACAACAAAAAGAGCAGGATAAAAAGCAAAACAACAACACACATGGCTTTTCTTGCCACTTTTTCAGGCTTTTTGCAACTACTTGTGGTGGCTTGATTTTAGGTTATTCAACTGAGTGCACACTTATGCACAATTTCAAGCACAAGTTTAAAGCTGTGTGCGCGTGGCACACATATACCATACATATAAACATATTTGTCTGTATATGTGTGCGCATGTTGATGCGTTTGTTTGTATTTATGGCTGTTTTTGGCAACATTAACTACGCCAAAACTTGTCACACATGCCTCTTCGGCGCTAACTCACGAGCGCTCCACAAAAAAAGACTAGCCTGTAACAACAACTGCACACCTAAAACTGTCTTTCTTGCTGAGTTCACATACTTGCGTATTGAGTTTGCTTATGTGGGTGTCATTGTGTTATGTGTTTGCGTATGTGTCTGTTTAGCGCTGGCATACTCTACTCTTCACTAAGCGTTGATCTTAATCAGCGATAAATTTCTTTTGTTTTGCCATTTTTCGGCATAGCTGCCACAAAAGTATAATATTTTTTCTTAATAGCTGGCGGCCCAAACACCAAGTGAACGATACAAATTAATATTTCAGTTTTTGTGATGCTTAGACAGTGGGCCAGTGGCACAATGCGTCATAAAACTTGAGTAATGTTTTGCTGAATTATGTGTATGTGTATGTATCCAGTGTGCTTTATTGAAAAATTAATTTTGTCGATCGATAAGTAAATCTGCTGATGCAGAAATATGACTGAAGGCTGAAACACAGAGATATAGGAATTATTTGCGGTGCTATTGTTCTAGTACATTTCATTCCAATATACAGGTATATTCCAAACCAATACCTGTTCACTTGTAATCCAAACCAATACTTGTCCACAAATAAATATGTCGCAGTAAATGGAAATGGATCAGACACACGTTGCGCAAGTCCCAAAACGACATCAAAAGAACAGCATTGCACTGGAATCCTAGAGCC